CCCAACCCCCTCTTAGAAAAAAAGGGGGCCAGGGCCCCCCCCCCCCCCTCTACCTCCCCCAGAGGATGAGGGTACAGTCCAAAGTAAGCACAAGCTTACGTAAGGTTAATGCCTATTGGTACGGCATTAAAAAATATACTAAAGTCCCCCATTGGGCGGTGGAGGACTTAGAGTTAAGACACCCCAAAACTTTCCGGCGTGAGATCCAAAATGGATCGGACGATGGAGGGGGGGGGGGTGCTCGTTGCTTGAAGTGGACCAATATAACATAGAGCCATCCAAGCAAAGCTTATTACTCACCTGAACGACCTGACCAACCACGCAAAAACTGCGGAGCTAGATGTGCGGCACGCACAATGAATTGTTTTCGATTGGAGAGAGGCGAGTACAAAGCAGTAAGGAATTGTTGGCCAAACTTTCGGCAGATAGGTCTACTCGGGAGCGTAAGTGGGGTAGCAACCCATGGTGGAGCGTACATGAGAAGCTGGACGTTGGTGTACGATCCATCCCGGCGTGTGAGTAGGATCTTAGGCTATGCAAGTCGTCCCTGAACTTATTGTGGTGAAAATGACCTCCCAGGAGGAAAGTAGCCTGTACTGCGGGACTTCGGAGATGACAAATTGGGTGGTCGGGGGACGTCTGGGTGTTTACTAAGCAGAACGCCCGGCACAAGACTGGGGTACTTGTGCCAGGAGGTGTGAACTTGGATCTAGACTACGAGCCCATGTTGGAGGCGCTATTTAGCGTCGGTGAGCCGGCAAAAGAACTGAAAGGAACCACAACCCCCACCGGACACCCGGACTGGGAAGGCCGAGTATTCCGTATACCTTCCTGAAAAAACACGAACAACAAATGGCCGAGGTCCAGTTGCTGTAGAGATCATGAGGATGGTGAAGAAGCCGGGAGGATGGAAGCAGAACCTGTGGCAGGGAGACAGGTTGGAGCTGCTGCTGTTTGGAATTCCAAGGGACATGACGAGGATAGAGTTCAAGAACTGTTGTGACACGGAGGGACTGCATTGCCTAGCAAGGGGAGAAGTAGGTAGAGAGCATGAACATTTCCGGGTGAAATTGACCAAGGGAGACAGCCAAGAGTGCTTGGGGGTTGACATCGAGAAGCTGTCGAACTACGTAAGGAAGTTTGGATGGAGGGTTTGCGTCGCGAACATGATAGAAACAGAGAAGGTAAGGCGACAGGAGGCGAGGGCGATAGAGGCGAAGAAGGGACCGGGCGGGGGAGACGAGCAGGCATATCAGCAGAACGCCGAGAAGAAGCGGAAGGCGAAGGATAGAGTGCGCAAAATCTCCAATAGGGAAAAGCACAAGCTGAGAGTGGGGTCGTGGAACGTGTGCGGGTTCGCAAGGAGTGAGCGCAAGCGGTTGGAAATAGTGGACCAAGTAGAACAAAGCGATCTGGATGT